TGGGGCCCCAGCTGGACACAGACTGGCTGTTCTTGGGGCCTAGGCATCATTTCTTCCAATCAGGGGAGGCTGTGGGCTTTGCAGTGGGCTCCAGGCTGCAGGTCAACTTCTCTCAGTGCTCACACTGACGGTGAGCCAGACAGAGGGTCACCCTGAGGATGGCTTCCAAGGGTGGCCCCCCTCCTCACGCTTCTGAGGGAACCCCTGTGTGGGCGAGCTCCTAGCCTTTTGGTTTCCTAGGTCCAGTGACAGTGTGGTCCTGGTATTATTCTTGTTACCATTGAGTGCCATGCATTGCTGGGAGTAGGTCTGAGCTCAGATGAGGAGGTCACTCTCTGGAGATCTGTATAAAAGGCACTGCTTCCGATTTTCAAGGGGGTTCAGAGCACTCAGAGCTGAGCCTACCCTGCGCAGTAAAGCCCATCGTGGGAGGACAGAGCCCCTTCCTCAGGCCTCAGCTTCCTGTGACGCAGCTGGACCACAGCCACCACATTGGGACCTTTTGCCCTTGGTCCACTTAGACTCCAGCTGCCATGGGGCCACTTGATCTACCTGCCCCTCCCTAGACAATGGCCCTGATGCCCTCCATGCAGTGAGTGCTCTTGGAAGAAGCAAATGAGGTGGTGTGTGTATACGCAGGAAGCCAATGGGGCTATTACTTCCGAGTAATCCCATGGCCCTGAGCACACAGGGAAGACATACAAGCCATTCAGGGTGCCGTGTGTCCCCCAGAGCAGCTCACATGTGAATGGAGAAGACACACACGACCATAGAACCAGATACGCCAGCACATGGAAAGACATGCTGACCCCGAGAGGGTCTGTCTGGAAGCTCAGGACAGACCCCACGGAGCTGGCACTGAGAGGCACAGGGCTGGGGTCCCGCTCAATGCTGGGGATGCAGAGTGTGGGTGTGGGAGTGCATGGGATATGTGTTCCAGTTCTGCATTTGAGGTCTGGGGGTGGCTGAAGAGACAGAGCCCCCCAGACCTCTGGAACAGCTTGGGAGCTCTAGCTGTAACCTTGCCCTGAGCCCGCGTGAGCCCTTGGGACAACGAGGAGATGCTGTCAGTCCAGGCTGGCCCAGTGCCTGGCACATGGCAGGTGCTCAGCACACGTGGGACTGTCCCGCAGCTGTGCCCACTGGCTGTGCACGTGCAGGCATTGTGCAGAGCTGCGGAGGGAGTGGCTTTGCTGTCTCAGTCAGCCTCTGCTTGTGAACGTGTACCCCAGTGGGGGTCAGCAGAAACTCGGGGTAAGGAGACAGGAGTGCTGGGGGAGCAGGTGCCAAGTGACAGAGATGGCACCTCAGTACTGACACGGTGGACAGCACTGTGGCAGGGTACAGGGCAGCCTTCTCTGGAGAGCTTGGGGCCAGGTAAGGCTCTCAGGCCTCCACAGTGTTCAGATCCCCACACCTGTGCTGAGCAGCCTGGAGCCCACCCCACGCCTTCATCCTGCCCAAAGTGCCACTGTTGTGCTGCCCCATCTGAGCCAGTGACGTGGGCGTGGGGTGTTTGTTACCACAGCTCTACCCCACCCAGGCCAGCAGATACTCCTCAGACTGACGTGAGTGTGGGGTCTTTGTTACCACAGCTCAACCCCACCCAGGCCAACAGATACCTCTCAGACTGACGTGAGTGTGGGGTCTTTGTTACCACAGCACCACCTCTCCCAGGCTGACAGGCACACCTCAGACTGACATGGGTGTGGGGTATTTGTTACCTCAGCACCACCTGTCCCAGGCTGACAGATACCCCTCAGACTGACATGGGTATGGGCTGTTTGTTACACAGCATCACCTGTCCCAGGCCGACAGACCCCTCAGACTGACGTGGGTGTGGGGTGTTCATTATCACAGCACCACCTGTCCCAGGCCGACAGATAGCCCTCAGACTGATGTGGGTGTGGGAGTCTGTTACCACAGCACCACCTCTCCCAGGCTCATAGACACCCTCTGAATCTTCCATGGCAGGCAAGTCTGAGGAGATCTTCTCTACTTAAAAATCGTAAACGAGCCTTGGTGATCGGCACATCTCCCAGCTCATGGTTTGTGTCTTCCCCATAGATGTGCCTAGAAGGCTCTGGAATTGTGGTGCTACTGTGTTCCTGCAGCTTTGCAGATGGCTCTCAGTGTGGTCTAGGACAGCTAGCCTAGTCAGGAGCCCTTCCTTGCCCTGTCTCTTGCCTTCCACTCTAACAACACCGCCACGGGGGCAGGAGTGGGTGGCCTTCCCCAGCTAACTGTCCGTCTTGTGTGACTCTGTGCTGTGCTCTCCCCAGCAGGCTCACTGAAGCATCTCAGGGGATAAGACCCAGGCCCACAGCCAAGGCCTGGCCCTTCATAGCATGGGTGCTAAGGCTTCCCGAGACTGACAGGCCACACTGACGGGCCCTGTGGCAGCTGCTAGGCCAATCTCTGCCTCCACCTCTTCCTGGGCAAGCCTGGCTCCTTGAGACACATGGTGGTATTTCTTTTATGCACATCAAGGCAGCTCCAAAAGGCCAGTGAAAGGTGCTTGAGACCAAGTGTGAGCCAAGGGAGCCTCACAGCCACTGGCCCTGCCAGGCCTCACCACACTGTTGCTGTTCTAGAAAGAGTGACAGGAGCCTCTCCCTGCACAGGCACACCTGAGTGTGGCTCTGGGTGGTGGCCTCCCCGTGGACACGGGCAGCAACAGCCTGGCCCCACAGCCTCCTTGGAAGTCCAAGCACACTTCGCAGTGAAAGGGTCCTTTAGGTGGTCTCCCTGGAAGCCCCAGAGTTGCGGACCAGGATCCTCTGCTGCAGGAGGAGTGACGCCCAGCTGCCTCCCCTGGCCACACCTGGCCCGGACTCCCACCCACAGGGGGCTCCAGGCTCCAGCCCGAGTGCATCAGAGACCTTGTCCCCCTCCAGGGCACACCTTAGGCCTGCGCAGGCAGCTTGGGGTTCCGTCTGGCTGTGGGCACCCACCGGGCTGACAGACCCCTCCCGACAGCTGAGGCTGCCGGGAGCTGTCCGCTCACTCAGTGCTGGTGTCAGCGTGGTCCCTGCCAGTCAGGGAACGTGGACAACAGCTTATACCGGCAGCACTGGGCATGGGAGCAGGTCCAGGAAGGAGCCCACAGCCCGGTGCCTGTGCTGAGACTGCTGCCCAAAGAGGCACAGGCTTTCCCTGCGCCCCCAAAACCAGGCTCAACCTGGCTGCAGGGCGGTGGCTGCAACTCGCTGCCCTGCCTTCCCCATGGGTCATGCCAGCCACAGCCCCTCTCCCAGGACACCACGGCCAGGGAACAAAAGCCATGCTTATCAAAGGAGTTTTCTTTATTTTCATAATTTAGCTGAATCAACACAAAATCGAATACTGTAAAACAAGAAAGAATGCGGTAACATCTTCAACTCCCGGTGTCCGCCCACGGAGGGTCCACACTCTCCCATGAGAAACCGGTGAGGGACAAGGCATGGGACACTGGCTGTCACAGGTGTGCTGGGCCAGGGGACACTCCCCGCTCAGGCCATGAGAGCCGGGGTGGGAGGGCCCTGGCCGGCTGGGGGCAACCCCCTCTCCTGCCCACCTCCTCCATGATGGCAAGCCAACGCCTCAGCCCTTTGTTCTGCTCAAGGACACAATCACCTCAAAATCAATGTGACTGGAAAGCAAGTGGGATAATCGTGACGTCGGAACGGGTCTTCGATAAACGGATGTTCTCTCTATCTTTAGTCTATGGGACTGGAACGGCGTCTATAGAGTTATTATTTATGGTTTTCTTTTTACTTTTAGTAGCACAGAACTAGCATAATACTCGTGTTAATGGGGTTCTTAGGTAGTATAATTCTGCAGAAACTCAGGAAAACAGAAGAGCCTGGCCCGGGAGGACCAGGAGAAAGACAAACAGAGCTGCTGCTGCTTCCCCGGCCTCAGACCCTGCCTCGCAGGGAGGCGCGGGGAGGACTGGCACCGTGTTCTGGGAGTGCCACTCCCACACCCCTTTTCCTCACTTGGCTTCTTTGGACCTGTTGACATGAAGACCGATGACCCCGGGGTTTGAGGGCAAAACCCAACTCGGGGAGAAGAAATCGGCTGGAGACTGACCTCACGGTCTGTTAATGAGGAAGGGGTGAGAAAAGAGATTAAAACCCATCCGTTGGAAGAGGCGTGACCAAACTCTCGCCCAGTCAGCTTTAACTGAGACGTAGACCAGAGGGAAATTTACCACGGAACCCAAACCAAAAGGGGGATAGGAGCCCCGCCTCCCGGGGGCGCTGGCTGGCTGGGAAGCCGTGACTTTGACATCCCGGCTTTCAACTTGCTCCCCCCACAGTCCAGCCCCTCCCACCCAGTGCCCCTAGGTCCCAGGCGGCGCTGACCTCCCACCACGACCTCCACTGAAGTCATCGGGCACCCTCGAGACTCGGCCCGTCCACTCCTCACACCGGCCAGGGCTACCACATTAGTTGTTAAATAGGATTTTCTACAAATATACAACATATAAAAACTGTTAAATATATAACTTTAGGCTTTGCAAAATACATTTAATGATCTCTTTCAAACAAGTGTTACTTTAGTTTCCTTTAATTTGCTTTCTGGAGCTAAATGGTGTGTTGGATGGGACAGCGGCCATGGGAGATCCAACATGCTCTTGGCAAATACTGGATTATCCAACTATCAAAAATGGAACTGTACAAGAGGCGCGTTGAACGGGTTAAACAGAAGGTGATTTTAGTAGTCAAGTCCATCTAATACACAGGGAGGGTGCCGGCCGTCTGCGTCCGCGGGGAAGACATCCTGCGTGGGGACCGCAGCGGGGACAGGCTCCTGCAGGCCTCCAGCAGCTCCCTGGGGGACTCACCGCAGTGTTCCTGGGGCAGGGAGCTCCGCCACGGCCCCTCTCCGTTCCGCTGGGGACGGCACCATGCCTCGGCCACCTTGCTCCTGCCGCCCTCCCGCCCTCACAGTCCAGCCCAGGGGACTCTGACAGTGTGGGCGCGTCCACTTTAAAATAGACTTTTCTCTTTGGTCTATTGAATATACTGAAAGTATAAGAAAATAAAAGCAATTCGGACAGTCTGGGGCACAGGAAGAGGCTCGCGGTGGCACCTGAGTGTCCTTGCGGCAGCCGGGGCTCCTCGTTTGCTGGCTGGGCTGCGGCTGCTTCTGGCCATTGGCACGGCCCCTGCTCTCCGGTTCCCAGAGACACCGGCGAAGCCACGTCCCTCGGGGGTGGGCACGTGCATGTGCCCCTCAGACCGTGTATTGCTAACGCCGCTCGCCGCTCCCCGCCTGCGTGTCTCAGTCTGGCCTCCTGGCAGCGGCCGGACGGGCTGGAGCTCGGGGCCCCCTGGGGCGTGCTGTCCTGGGTGGGCTGTGGGGAGACGGAGGGGGCAGAGGGCCACAGTGGATGCGGGACGGTGATGGCCGTGGGGGCTCTCCACAGAGCCAAGGCCACTCCCGGGACCCTTCTCGTGCTGTGTTTGTCAGGAGACCTGCAGAGCAAAGAGAAGACATGGTCAGCTCTGGTTCACACCTGCAGGGGCCCAGTAGGGAACAGCTGCAGGTGGGGTGAGCCCGGAACTGTCTACAGACACTCCCCAGGCTCATCCCGCCCACCCCACTCCCAGCTTGCCGCGAGCTGACACGGAGGCAGCCCTGACTCATGGTGAGTACACAGCAGGACGGAATGCGGCCCGGGGCTGTGCCGTCCCCATGGCCCACTGCACACTGAACTGCTGGGATCCACCAGCCGAGTTTCAGAGTTAGATCAACAGGCCTTTCCTCCTAGTCTGTCTCAGTCTGGGGGCTGTGCTGAAACCTGGGCAGTATCCTCACAGGAGGCAAGCCTCCAGTGATGGCCGGTCGGTGACCGCACAAGAGGTGCACTGGCTGAGAATTACCCCGGGTCTCCTACCGGAAGGCAAGAGTTCTACACCGCCCCTCACAGGTCTTTTTGAGGTCATAAAAGTGAGAGTTTGGAAACAAAGGGGCTGGAGGTAAAATCCACGCCACCACAGGGAAAGCCACACCTTCAGGCAGGAGCTACGTGTGTCCTTGTCCCCAGTCCTCAAGGACTAGTGGCAAGTATGTCCACCCACTTGGTTCCCTAAAGGGGCAGGCCATGGAAAGCCAGCATGGAGCCAGGTTGCTCACCGTGCTGACTCACGTGCACCCCACGGTCCTGCGGAGCCCGTGGCATCCCAACTGACACCCCACTGTCCCAGGACAAACCCACCAGAACACGCAGGGGAGGGTCACCGGGTCAGGTGTGCGAGCGTGGAGGAAGGTCACCACCCGAGGAGCAGTGAGACTGTCCCCTTAAAGCAATCAGGATGGAAGCCACAGGGGAGGATGCGGGTAGGGCTTCCTATGACCCTGATGGCAGCCCCACCCTGCCTGGCCCAGCCGGGTCTGCGTGCGTGCGGCTGGCCCTCTCTCTCAGTGATGCTCCTAGTGGCCCCTCTGAGGCAGGGCCCCCAGGCACCTATCTGCCTATGTAGTGGGTGGACTGGTAGCCCCAAAGATACGTGCATCTGGGACCTGTGAATGTGAACAGCATTTGGAAAAAGGGTGCAGATGTCGCTAAGCTTAGGGTCTCAAGATAAGATCGTCTTGGAATGCCCAGGTGTTGCTGAGTGAGTCAAGTCCATTCTGACTCACATTGACTCCAAGGGGCAGAGTAGAACTGCCCCCTCTGCCCCCCCACAGGTTCTTCTTGGCTGGAATCTTGACTGAAGACAGTGCCAGGTCTCTCTCCAGTGGAGCTGCTGGGGGCTCCCAGGTCCGCAGGCTGGGCCACCACGGTGGGGGTGCAGGTAGTGAGAACAGGGAGTCCTGGTGGGCAGTGGTGAGCACTCAGGGGCTTGTCCAAAGGTCAGTGGTTCGAACCCACCAATGGCTCCAAAGGAGAAAGACCTGAGGTGCTGTTTCGTAACGCTTACAGCCACGAAAACCCTATGAGGCAGTTCTGCGCTGTCAGATGGGATCGCTACGAGTCAGAATTGGCCCAAAGGCACCGGACAACAGTGAGGAAGGCAAGCCTGAGGGTGAGGAGGGGACTATGGAGGAACGAGGGACTTGAACTGGTTCGAGGCCTAGGAGCAGCCACCTTTCCTGCTTCCGTCCTGTGCTTGGGGGTCCAGGCCAGGCCTCCCTCCATCCCAGGGCCTCTTGGTTGAGGTTAGAACACACTACCAGGTTGAGCCTTTCCCAGCTGCTCTTAGCTAACCATGTCTGTGGTAGTTAAGGTTGTATGTCACCTTGTTTGGGCCTGGTTGAGTGGCTGGGCAGCTGGTGGTAGTTATTCCCCATGATGAGACTGGCAATCAACTCCATGGTGGGATCTACCACAAGCAGCTGAGTAGTTGCTTTAGAGATGTGGTCTACTGCTTCCTGTATATAAGAAATAGCTTTGGGAATGGTCTCCAGCTTATGGCACGCTTAAACCTTGCATGTAGCTGAGTCGTTGTTCAGCAGCCTGCCATGTTCTTCTGATCCTGAGACTTTCAGTGGACTTGAATCAATGGCCTGCCGTGTGGTTTGGTAACACTGGGACTGTGCCAATTTATATGTCAACTCTGGGTTTGTTAGCCTCAGCAGCCAGTAGCTGCCTGAGTGAAGAGATGCCTCTAGCTTCAGTGGGCTGGGAGGTGAAGCCCAAGGTTGAGGGGCTTTCACCTAGCCCTTACAGCCTGGCAATTTGAACTCGGATTAAAAGCCTCCAAACTAAGAGAATAAACACCTGTTTTTCAAGCCATCCCATTGGTGGTATACTTCTGTCAGAGTGGTACTAGGGAACCAGAACAATGTCATATTCCTTCTCTCCATTCCTCAGCATCCTTAGGTATAAACAGGTGCCAGCCTCAGCAGGTGGTACCTGTAACAAGTTCTTGAGACCTCCTAGGATCAGCATTATGCACCTGTCTCCTAACTGGAAAATGAGAGAAGTGATGTTGGAGGATCTGTCCCTGAGTACCTCCTTCACTAGAACCAGCTGGGGGAGGTGTGAGTTTCTAGTCAGAAGGTGGATCCCACCTCCTTTGCTCAGAAGAGCCGATCATGGCCTCTTCTGTATCTGGGGTCAGAATGAGGGCAGCTCTGCCTACTGTGTCCTGGGATGGACAAGTGCATTCATTCTGGGATGGACTCTGGTTCCTCTTGCCAACCACAGGCCACTGGCACTGCCAACCCTGAAAATAGAGTGGTCCTCAAACCCTGGACTACTCTGAAAACAGAAAGGTCCAGGTCCAGCCATCCAAGGTTACATCACAGATGTGGTTCTCAGATAATCCCCATGACCAGGACAGATGAGGAGAGAGGCCAGGTGACAACCACAAAGCCAACTTGCTGTCCGAAGAGCTAGCTCCTTCAGAGAGAGGGGCTGAGCCACCATGCCCCTCCCTGGGCATTCTGAGATGGATGCACTTCCCTGCCCCTCATGGCTGCCCAAAGAATCAGAGGACAGAAGTCAGTCAAGGTGCTGAGTCAACTCTGAGGTGCTAGGGGAAGAAGGCTGTGTTATCAGATTAACAAGCACACTTAAGAAGTAGCTTCTTAGACCACAGACTCAGGCAACATCAAGGTCAACCGGCACAACAAAATCCACAAAGACAACATTCTACATCCTAATTTGGTGAGTAGTGACTGGGATCTTGTGAACAGCCACCTAAGGTGCAACTATTGGTCTTTCCCCATGCAGAGCAATGAAGAGTGAAGAAAATCAGAGGTGCATGGAAACAATGAGTCCAAAGGACTAATGGACCCTGGAAACCCCAGGCTACGTGACCTTGAGACTAGAACTAGTTGGTGCCTGGCTACCACTGCTGACCACTCTGAAAGGGATTGTAATAGGAGGTCCCAGATAGAGTGGGAGAAAAATGTGGAACAAAACTCAAAATCATAAAAAGGACCAGACTTACTGGTCTGACAGACACTGGTGGAACCTCTGAGATGATGGCCCTTAGACACCTTTCAAGACTGGAACCAAACTCACCCCTGTGCTCAACTTCCAGCCAAACAGCAGACAAGCCTATGAGGTGAACGATCACACCAGGGTGGTCTGCACTCTTTAGAGCAATCAAGATTAAGATACCAAAAGGGCAGCATTTGTCCAGGGATAAAGCCGAGAAGGTAGAAAGGGGTGGGAAAGAAAGACAAAGGGAAATGATGCATTCAGGACGGAAGTGGGAAGAGTGCTGTTACACTGTGAGGAGTGCAAGTCAATGTCAGGAAACAGAATGTGTTTGAACTGCTGAATGAAAAACCAATTTGTTCTGTAAACTTTCACCCAGATTACAATAAAAAGTTAAATAAAATAAAATAAAACACACGCTTTGGAACATAGTTCTATTCTGATACACAGTGAGTCAGAGTGGGGGGGGGAGCTACCTTGGAAACGCTATGTGGTAGTTTGACTCTGTTCTCCAGGGGTGCATTGAATTGGAATCCACTCTGTTGCAGTGGGTTTGGTTTGGGCTTTGCTTTCATAAAGATTACAGCCTTGGAAACCCTATGGGGTAGTTCTACTCTGTCCTCTAGGGGTGCTGTGAGTTGGAATTGACTTGATGGCAGTGTATTTAATTTGGGTTTTGCTTCCATAAAGATTTACATCCTTGGAAACCCTGTGGGGCAGTTCAAGTGATCTTCCAAACATAACAGCCTCCCTATGACTGTTTCCTCATCTGTAAAATGGGGTAATGCATGCTGATAGCTCCACCACTCATCTGTCATGTGTCATACCATGGTGGCTTGCATGTTGCTGTGAGGCTGGAGGCTATGCCACTGATATTTCAAATACCAGCAGGGTCACCCATGGTGGACAGGTTTCAGGTGAGCTTCAAAGCTATGATAGACTGGGAAGAAGGAAGGGGTCATCACTTCAGAAAAATTGGCCACTGAAAACATTATGAATAGCAATGAAACACTGTCCAATAGAGTGCCAGAAGATGAGCCCCTCAGGTGGGAAAGCATTCAAAATATGACTGGGGAAGAGCTGCCTCCTCAAGGTGGAGCTGACCTTAATGATGTGGATGGAGTAAAGCTTTCAGGACCTCCATTTGCTGATGGGGCATGACTCAAAATGGAAATAAAACAGCTGAAAGCATCCATTAATAATTGGAATGTGCAATGTATGAAGTATGATGCTTGCAAAGTTGAAAGGTGTCAAAAATGAAATGGAAGGCATAAAGATCAATATCCTAGGCATTAGTGAACTGAAATGGCTTCATATTGGTCATTCTGAATCAGAAAATCAGATGGTCTACTATGTCCAGAATGACAAACTAGAGAGGAATGGTGTCACATCCATCATCAAAAATAACATCTCAAGATCTATCCTAAAGCACCATGCTGTCAGTGATAGGAGACTATCCA